TTGGACCTTGTCAAATGCCTTTTCTGCACTGATTGATAAGATCATGTGGTTCTTGTCTTTTGTTTTATTTATTTTTGTGATGGATGACATTGATTGTTTTTCTAATGTTGAACCATCCCTGCATACCTGGTATAAATCCCACTTGATCGTGGTGAATTATTTTTTTGATATGTTGCTGAATTCTACTGGCTAGATAGAATTTTGTTGAAGATTTTTGTGTCAATGCTCATGAGTGATATTGGTCTGTAATTTTCTTTTTTTAGGGTGTCTTTACCTGGTTTTGGTATTGGGGTTATGCAGGCTTCATAGAATGAGTTTGGAAGTATTCCATCCTTTTCTATGCTCTGAAATACCTTTAGTAGTAGTGGTGTTAACTCTTCTTTGAAAGTTTGGTAGAATTCTCCAGTGAAGCCATCTGGGCCAGGGTTGTTTTTTTGTTGGGAGTTTTTTAAATTACCTTTTCAATCTCTTCTTTTGTTATGGGTTTATTTAGTTGTTCTACTTCTGTTTGTGTTAGTTTAGGTAGGTAGTGAGTTTCTAGAAATTTGCCCATTTCCTCTAGGTTTTCAAATTTGTTAGAGTACAGTTTTTCATAGTATTCTGTTATGATTCTTTTAATTTCTGTTGGGTCTGTTGTGATATTACCCATCTCATTTCTTATATGGGTTATCTGCTTCCTCTCCTGTTTTTCTTTTGTTAGTTTGGCCAATGGTTTATCGACTTTGTTGATCTTTTCAAAGAACCAGCTTTTGGTCTTGTTAACTCTTTCAATTGTTTTTCTATCTTCTATTTCATTTAATTCTGCTCTAATTCTTATTATTTCCTTTCTTCTGGTGTCCGAGGGCTTCTTTTACTGCTCTCTTTCTACTTGTTCTGGTTGTAGAGGTAATGTTTTGTTATGGCCCTTTCTTCTTTTTGGATGTGTGCATTTATTGCTATAAACTGACCTCCGAGCACTCCTTTTGCTGTGTCCCCAAGGTTCTGGTAGGATGTGTTTTCATTCTCATTTGATTCTATGAATTTCTTTTTTCCATCCTTAATTTCTTCTATAACCCAGTAGGATTTGAGCAAGGTGTTCAGTTTCCATGTGTTTGATTTTTTTTCCTTGCTTTTTCTGTTGTTGATTTCTACTCTAATGGCTTTATGGTCACAAAAGATGCTTTGGATTTTGTTAAGGCTTGCTTTATGGCCTAATATGTGATCTATTCTGGAGAATGTTCCATGTGCATTGGAAAAGAAAGTATACTTGGCTGCTGTTTGGTGGAGTGTTCGTTATATGTCTATGAGATCAAGTTGGTTGATTGTAGCATTTAGCGCTTCCGTATCTTTGTTGAGCTTCTTTCTGGATGTTCTGTCCTTCACCGAAAGTGGTGTGTTGAAGTCTCCTACTACTATTGTGAAGCTGTCTGTCTCTCTTTTCAGTGCTGTTAGAGTTTGTTTTATGTATTTTGGAGCCCTGTCATTGGGTGTGTAAATATTTATTACAGTTATGTCCTCCTGGTGTATTGACCCTTTAATCATTATACAGTGTCCTTCCTTATCCTTTGTGGTTGATTTTAAAGTTTATTTTGTCAGAGATTAATATTGCCACGCCTGCTCTTTTTTGAGTGTTGTTTGTTTGCTTGATATATTTTTTCTGTCCTTTGAGTTTTAGTTTGTTTGTGTCTTTAAGTGTAAGGTGTGTCTCTGTAGGCAGCATATAGACGGATTGTGTTTTTTTTTGTCCAATCTGCCACTCTCTGTCTCTTTATTGGTGGATTTAGTCCATTTACTTTCAGCATAATTATTGATAGTTATGAGTTTAGTGCTGTCATTTTGATGTCTTTTTTGTGTGTTGTTCACAGTTTCTTTGTTCCACTTAATTTTCTATGCTGAGTCCTTCATTTAAGATACAGTCACTGAGAATCTGAATTGGGCCAGATATTGGTCAAGGTGTTGTACTAAAAGGATGAATAAGGCTGACTCCCTGCTCAGGGGGCATCCCAAAAGGCTGGGCCCCTGAGCATCCAGGAATCCATGGAATTGCCACTAGCGTATATGTGGCTGGCTCTCTGTCGCTCCCGTCTCCCCAACCGTGTTTGTGTCCTGGGAACCTCAGATGGGGTGGGATAGATGACATGTCCTATGATCAGCCTGGCAGGTATAGGAGCGGGCTTTGGAAGCATCTTGGAGGTCTGGACACTTCAAGTTCATTGCCTGTGGGTTTACCCAGTTGACTCCTTGTGTGTTTGTTCAGCAACCCTCCAGGAATCTGCCTCTGCCCCACGGTACTCGCACCCTCTGCAGCTCGCCTTCCCAGTTCCAATTTAAATGTCTCTTGGGAGTGATTTTCTCTCCATCCTCACTGCAGACCCTCAGGGACCCACTCCAGTTGGCAAATAAGCTCTCGCTCCTCCTAAACATCCATCCTTCCCTCCCAGACGCCCTCCTACATATTGTCATTATGGTGAAAAATATGCAAATAACTTTGACAAACAGTCTCCCAACAAACGAGTATTAAAAAATGTAATAAATTAACCCCATAATGTAATCTGGGTGCCAGGACCATCTATCATGCTGATGTGATTAAGATATGAATAACGAGATGCCACAGAACCTGATGGGAATGATAGATGAGTCCTCACAGCACTCCTTCATGGTCCCCTGCTGACTTGGCCTCCTGCCCCACTCCCAGCTTCTTTGCCCCCAGGGACCCCAAGGCCGTCAGAGGTTTAGGGAACATCTGGTCTCACCTGTTCGTTTCACGAATGAAGAGAATGAGGCCTTTTTAGTATTAGGGGTCAGATCAATTTGAATTCTCCCCATCTGTGTCCTAGCCTCAGTTCCCCTGTCTTTGACAGGCTCTAAATCCTAAGCCCCAAATCCAAGCGTTTTTATCTACGGATTTCTAGTTGATAAGGTGGGTTCCCCGGTACCCAAGAAAGGTTGCTGGGACCTCAGGTTCCTCAGGGGAAAATGGGGGCGCTGAGTGGTAAATCCTCTGAGACTTCTCTGAGGTTCTTCGACTCTGTGTGTCAGGACACCTCTGTATGGCTTGTCCTGTGAGCTCTCAGGGCAGGGAGCTGGGGCCGGGACACCATGGAGGGACGGCCTGAATTGAGCCTCTCTACCCCTCACACTGTGTCCTGGGGGCCACCCCACAGGAGTAGCTGGGCTCTGAGCCTCCCCACCCCAGAGCCCAATCCAAATGGACCCTTTACAAGGAGGTGCCCCCTACCACTCTCTGTCACCAATGAAGAGATACTTGAGAAGCATTGAGAGAGAGACAAAGAAGGACCCCTTTACCCCAAGTGGCCAAAGCATCAGCAATGATTACCTCTCAAGGAGCCAGGGGACACTGCCTACAAGCCAGGGAGCTGCTTGACTGGCTCCACGTGGAAGTGGTCCTCTCCTACAATGCATGACTTGGACAGGGTCCCAAGTCTTGACAAGGGTCTCTTGCCCAAAATGTGCTGTCAGGTACCTCAATTCCTAAAGTAAATCATTCATCCCTTTGGGTTAAGCATTGCAATCTTACAAAATGCAAACATTCCCTGGGAATAGCCCACCCCAGGGACACCCATTGTGGTGATTCCCACATTTTCTTGGGCATGAGAGCCTCTGGTAAGGGCTAGGGGCTTGCTGTGCACCGGGACTCTGATCGCATAGATCAGGGCTTCTCAGAGATTCTGATGTGGATTTCCAATGATTGCATTTTGAGAAATGCTTTGCTAGCATTCCTGGCTTAATCAGTCAGGCTCTTTCATCCCTCCTTTCCCTGCTCCCCATCATCAGTGTGTAAATGCAGGCTTGAAGCAGCTGGGTGTGTGTTTGTGTGTGCAGGTGTCCAATACTGAGCTGTAAACGGTACACATTGCTGGCTAGATCTGTGTATAAACAGATTGGTGTGACTCCTAATAAGCCCTTGCATCCCTGTAGGTCAGAGGTGGGGTCCCTTTGGCTTCTGGCCCTTCTTGTGGCCCATTACTCTGCGGCCACTTCTCTGACCTAAGTTTTCCCACTTGTCAAATAAGGGGGCCAGCAGGTTGAAGCCCTGTAGTCAGAATAGGATTCAGAGGTGGGTCTAAATTCCAGCTGTGTGATCTTCGTGAATTCGGGAACATCTCTGGGCCTGTTTTGTCATGTATAAAGTGGGGCTGTAAAATGGGTACTTAGCTCCTAGGGTTAATGAGGAATTAAAGAAATCAGTATTCGGCACATAAGAAGTGCTCAATCCACGTCAATAATTATTTTAATGTTATCGTTATCACTGAGCGGCTTTTCAGCTCTTCCAGACCGAGTCCTGAGCTATGGGGGACTCAAGAGCAATAAAGGGGAGTGGCAGAAGGGACCTCTCTACAGCTCCGCCCCCCTCCCATTCACTAGTTGTGTGACTCACGCAGGTAACTTCACCTCTCTAAACCTCGTCTGGCTCATCTGTAAAAACGGGACAATCAGTCACTACCTCATAGAGTTGTTTTGAGGATTCGGTGAAATAATCCTCGGGCATACTTAGCCCAGTGTTTGGCACACGGCTGGAGCTGCAGAAAGGTCAGCTATTGCTACGATGCATAGGGTTAGGAGGTTGTGTGCTCTTGGGCGGTAAAGCCAGGCTGCATTTAGGCTCGGGGATCGGGGGCTGTCCCCGCCCCGGAACCGGCGGGTTCGCTCTTGGCTCGGCAGCTGAGGGTCCAGAGTTGGAGACTCTGGAGTAAGCAGTAGATGTCGCTGCCCTTATTCCTAGCTGTGCCCTTTACCTGGCTCTCACTAGCAACACCTACCTGCCCTCTTCCAGCGTTCCTAAAACGAAAGAAATGCCCTAGAGTGGAAAAGACTTAGAGATCCGACGAGAAGACAAAAGTTGTCTTTTTCCGCGCCCACTTGAGGTAGGAGGGAAACCGCGCGGCGCAATCTCAGCCACTCCGAGGCCCGGGACCGCCTCTCCAGGCCGGCCCCCCCCCTCAAGCCCCGCCCCCGAGGCCCAGACCCGCCCCGTGCGAGGCCTCGGCGGGACTTGGCGAGGGGTGGGCGCGGTTTGAACGGCGGGCGCTAGGACCCGCCGGAGCGCAGCGGACGTCAGCGAGCTGCGCCGTTGCCGCGGGTTGAGCCCGAGGCGTGAGTGTTGCGGCCTGCGGCTCCTCGCGCCCGGGCTGGAACTGAGGCCGGAGCCGGTACCCGGGAGGGGAGAGGGGCCGGGTTCCCACTAGGGAGGGATCCGGCGGGTAAGGGGCGGAGACTCAGTCCAACCTAGTTTCACTTTCCGGGTGTCCAGCTCTGCGCCCCGGCCCAGCACTTCCAGCAGTGTCTCTGCACCTGCTGCCCGGCACTCCTGCGGGCAGAGCGCCGGCCTTTCCTTTCCCAGAGACAGCGCGGCGAGGGGGCGCGGGCCGCCGGTGGATAGAGGCTGGTCGAGGCGCACCTGATGCCCCTAAGCTGCGACGCCGGCGTGGAGGGGTCCCTCCCAGCTGCTCTCTGTGAAGAGGGCCATCTTACCCAAAACCCCCCGACAGAGGGGAGGGGACAGGAGGTGGAGGCGGGCCCTGCCGCTGCCTGGGCCTTCGGAACTACAGCCTGCCCCCGTCGCTGCCCCACCCCCAGGTGGCGGGAAGGATGACCACTCTCACGCGGCAGGACCTCAACTTTGGCCAAGGTAGAGAGGCTGGGCCTGCGGCCCCGGGTGGGGAGGTGGGTCTGGGCCGCTGGGCGTCCCTGAGTACGCCGAGTTCTGCCCCCTCTGCAGTGGTGGCCGACGTGCTCTGCGAGTTCCTGGAGGTGGCAGTGCACCTAATCCTCTACGTGCGCGAAGTCTACCCAGTGGGCATCTTTCAGAAGCGCAAGAAGTACAACGTGCCAGTCCAGGTGAATCCCACGTCTAGGCTGGGGCCACCGGGGAATTCCCAGCGCACCCATGTCCACCGTGTCGCCCCAAAATCGCAGATTAGGTAGAGGATGGTTTTTTTTTTTACCTTCTTCCATCTTCAGGCCCAGCCCATTTATTCCCCAGAGGCCGCCCAAGCCTTCCACTTCCCCCAGCAGCTGCAGAAAGCTCGACAACCCCCCACCCTTCACCTCTATGGCATTTCCATCCCTCCCCACAGTACCTAGAGTTCCCCCTGCCAAAAGTTAGGGCCCTGAGTAGAGTTGCTCTGGTGGCATGGTTGCATTTTAAAAGCGCCCCCTGAAGGGGCGAATCATTGGTTTGGAGAGGGGATTTCCATAACCTCAGGCACCTTCCCCTCCGCTCACTCTCCCTGACCTGTAATGAGTTGTTTTAAAAAACAGACAAAGCAGTAAATGTGCACTGCTCTATCCCCAGTTCGTGTTCGTAGAAGTGCTGCCCACTCAGAAGGCTCTCAACAAATACTAGAATAAATGCCTGCGTACTAGAAGGTGGGGGAACCTTGAAGGATATACAGGGAAAAGGAAAAATGAATCAGCATTTATTGAGCACCCACGGTGTACTATACTTATTCCACTTAATCTTCACTTTTTGTTGATGAGATCTTCACAGATGAAGTAATTGAGGCTCAGAGAGATTAAGTAATTGCCTGAGGCACACAGCTCCAAAATTTCAGATTCTTAATTTTGGAAATTTGATTCTATTTCTGGATTCTTTCTCTGGAAAAACGCCCATGTGCACAAATACACACAACTTTGTGTACAGTTTTAGGGACTTCTCAGACTCTGGAGGGGTCTTGTGCTCCACATTGTTGCTAGCTGCTGTTGAGCGGGCTCCTGACTCACGGCGACCCCATGAATAGCAGGACAAAACGCTGCCAGGTCCTGAGCCATCTCCATGATCTGTTGCTGTTGTAATCCATAGGTTATTCACTGGCTGAGTTTTGGAAGTAGATTGCTAGGCCTTTCTTGCTAGTCCATCTTCGTCTGGATGTGCTGCTGAAATCTGTTCAGCATCACAGCAACACGCAACCATCTGCTGACAGATGGGTGGCAGCTTTGCATGAGGTACATTGGCTGGGAATCGAACCCTGATGTCTAGCATGGAAGGCGAGAATTCTGCTGTTGAGCCATCACTGTTCCCAGACCCCACATTAGGAACCCCTAATGCTGTATTAAATGCTAGTGCTGACGTTGAACTCTTATCTTGCAGCTTCTCTTTTTCGTTGATAAAGTCACAGTTCTTAGCCTCAGTACAGGAAGTACAGGGTCTCTTAGGGTAGGGAGCCCTTAGGGAGTTGCTGGGTTTGGGTGTTGGGTGGTTCCCCCTCCATGCTATGGGCCTCACCAGCCACCACTGTGGGTTGTGCACAGATGTCCTGCCATCCGGAGCTGAACCAGTATATCCAGGACACGCTGCACTGCGTCAAGCCGCTCCTGGAGAAGGTAAGGGCACCAGGCCTCTCTAGCCTGCTCAGCCCCAGTGTGCTCTTCCATGCTCACAGGCCGACTCCTGGATGGCTCTAACACCCAGAAGCCTAATCCTGAATCTGGAGGCCATCCCCATCCAGGCACAGGTCTTGGGGTATGTGGAACATGTTCAGGGTGACTTGGGCCCAGGAGCTTGGGTTAGTGAGGCTGGCTTTTGAGGTGATGCCTACCCCGGAGGGTTCTGCGTTCTTCTCACCTCTCTTCCTCTCCCCGTGACTTCCTCAAGTTCTGTCTGGGCTCGGCCCCCTCAGGGTTTCCTCCTCCTATCTTGTCCTGGTCACTGAGACTTCCTGGGACCCCCACAGGCCCAGGCATCCTCTGTCTCAGCCTGTACCACCCATGGATGGGGTGCCAACTTGAACTTCTCAGAGAGCATGCTGTTCCCATCCTTCCTTAGGCAGGGGCAGGGTGGGGTTCGAGTTCTGAAGTGGGTGAATCCTGTCCTTGCAGAATGATGTGGAAAAAGTGGTGGTGGTGATTTTGGACAAAGAGCACCGCCCAGTGGAGAAATTCGTCTTTGAAATCACCCAGCCTCCCTTGTTGTCTATTAGGTGAGCTACCTTTCCCTTCTCTGTCTCTGCTAGCTGGTACGAGGTCCCCAGGAGTACCCACCTCCCCTGCCCCCCGCCCCCCACAGGGAAGCTCCTGACTCCCTTGGTTAAAGACCTGAGAGGAGAAATGGCAAGATGGGCTGACTGAACAACACTTCAGCCTGTAAGAGGCCAAGACACAGCCCAGCTGCCCAGTGGCCTCTGTGCACGGGACACGAGTTACATGTAGACCTTCCTTTTTCACACCTGGAAAGTCATAGCACTGGTGAATGTCTAGTCCCCACTTCATTTCTCTGAAACCAAGGTCCAGAGAAATGACATGAGCTGTCCAGGGTTACCCAAGTTGGTGGCAGAGCCAGGACACAGACCCAGTTTCTTCCCAGTAGAGCATCCAGTCCATAAAGGCAACTTGAAGTTGACTTTGGACAGGTCTGTGGTGGGGTCAGGGCCCTGAGATCTGGCACCAACCTGTCCCCACTTGCTGTGTGTCCTTGGGCCAGCCCTTTCCCTTCCTGGCATGGTGTCCTGGGGTGTGAAGAGCCTTGTGTTGTGTCCTGATTCTCAAGCCTGGCTGCATATTTTTTTTTCCAGTTGCTGCTGAGTCGACACTGACTCATGGCGACCCCATGTGTGTCAGAGTAGAAATGTACTTCATAGGGTTTTCAGTGGCTGATTTTTCAGAAGTAAATTGTCAGGCCTTTCTTCTGCGGTGCCTCTGTGTGGATTCGAACCTCCAACCTTTCAGTCGAGTGTGTTAACTGTTTGTACCACCCAGGGACTCCATTAAGCATTAAGACCACCTAATGATTCCCCCCTGCCTCAGATTATGACTGCATTAGTCTGGGGTGGGGCTGGGCAGTAAACTTCCTAGGCAATTCTAATTCTGCAGACTCAATAGGCAGCCAGGCCCTTAGAAGCCAATGCTCTCAGAGCCACTGGAGGGACTCTGGCCCCCAGGCCTACTTCCAGGGTTGATTGCTTAGGGTGGGGGAGGAGGCCAGTATGGTGGGAGACCCTCTTCTTGTTCCCAGTTCAGACTCCCTGCTGTCTCACGTGGAGCAGCTGCTCCGAGCCTTCATCCTGAAGATCAGTGTGTGTGATGCTGTCCTGGACCACAACCCCCCAGGTTTGCTCACCCCCACCCCCTCTTCCCTGGATGTTTCTGTAGTTCCCTGGGATTGGTTTGTGTTCCCAAGTTCCTGTTTGGCTGTACTGAGCCTCATCTCTTCCTGCCTTCAGAACTCCTCTGAAAGCCCACCTCCTCCAGGAACCTTCCTTGATTGACTCCACCTGGCTTCCATCTCCCCTCTGACTGTGCATTTCTTTAACATTTTGTTTTCACTTTGCTCTGTGGGCTGGGGGCCAAGTCCGGGCTGCTGGGCAAGCTAGGCAGGTGGAAAGAGGCTATGCCCAGTGTCTGGCATGACAGCTGGCCTTAACTTACCTCTTGCCTCTTCAGGCTGTACCTTCACAGTCCTGGTGCACACGAGAGAAGCAGCCACTCGCAACATGGAGAAGATCCAGGTCATCAAGGTGAGATGAGACTGGTCTGGGGGTGGGGTGCAGCTGAGAGCCTCTGAAAACCTGGTGTCAACGTTGCACGTGGCAGGGCTGTGGCCTGTGGGCAGCATGCCCATTCCACTGCTTAGAGCCGGGCCTCCCTGCGTGTTAACTATGTGGCCACATGCCTGGCACTGCCCCATCTCTGAGCGCTCAGAGATGAGAAGAGGGCCAAACCGCCTGCTGAGGCTGCCCTCTCACCCTGGCTCCTCTGAAACGGGGCTTCTCAAGGAGGGGGTCGTTGCCCACCGGTGTCAGAACTGGGACTTGGGGCTTCTTAAATCACACAGGTTCCCAGCCAGACCTACAGACTTGGCTGCTCTGGTGGAGCCTGGGAATCTGAATTGTTAGCAGGCCTCTCGTGATTCTGCTGCTCCCTAAAGTTGGAGGACCCCAGCCTTGGAGAAGGCTGCAAAATGATGGCAGGCCAGGGTCCAGCCCCCTTCTGCTCTCTCACCTCAGTCCCTCTCCCCAGGACTTCCCCTGGATCCTGGCAGATGAGCAGGACGTCCACATGCATGACCCCCGACTAATACCCCTGAAGACCATGACGTCAGACATTTTAAAGGTAGGTTTTGGGAGGCTGGCATGGGGAACCGGGTAATCTGTACTCAGGGAGGGCTTGGGAGGTGGGGCTGGTGCTGAGGCCTTGCCGGAGGACCTGTGGATCAAGGCCTGGGGCAGATGACTCTCAACTCCTGGCTCCGGCCACACCAGCCCCACCCTTGGTAGAGACCTATCTGCCAGGGCCTTGGGGTCCCTCCAGAGTAGGTATCCTGGCTGTCACCCTGACTGTGGCCATTTGCTCTTGTGCATCAGATGCAGCTCTATGTGGAAGAGCGAGCTCACAAAAGCAGCTGAGGATGCACTTGCCCCCCTACTGATGCCAACCTGTTGGACTTGAGGGCCCCCAGCCTAGGGCAGCACTGCAGGCCCCCGATTCCAAGTGCTCTTATTGCCTCTACGTGTGGACTGCCGCCCTCCAGCCCAGGGCTGCACAGGTCTGGTCGCCTTCGTGGACTCCGGGAGGGCAGTGAAGGGTGCTGGGACCTTAAACTCTCAGCCTTCTGCGGCTCAGCTGGCCAACACTGTCTCCAATACTGTGCTGTGAGCTGTTTCAATAAAGGGGCCCCAAGGGCTGAGCTGGGCTGTCATTCACCGGAGTGGGAGGGGCAGGTGCAGCCAAATTAACCTGGAGGAGGGGCTACTTCTCTACCAAAGTGCCAGGGACCACCTGCCCCCACCCTTAACTCCAACCCCAGGCTGATTTTACTGTAAACATTTATTGCAAGAAAATGTTGAAACTACATAACAGTTACCACAAACTGGTGGGTTTGCCCAAGATTGAAACTGGGGAGCAGCTCCTGAGACAGGGGCCTCTCCACCCACTACAGGCTCAGCTCTTGCCTGGAGGGGGACCTCCGGCCCTTGGCTGGCCCAAAGGATAGATGGATGGATTGGTGGGTGGGTGGCCAGTCAGATAACGGAAGGCTTTCTGGAGAGGACAAGCGGGCAGCCTCCCCGCAACCCCCCCCCCGTCCCCCCGTCTTCAGGCCGAGTTGTTGGCGAGCCCACGTTTCAGGGTCATCTTGTGGCTGATGATGATGCTGCTGTTGGTGACCCGGGTCCCGTACCAGCCTGCCCAAAACTGGGTGTCCTTGCCCCCATGCTGGAAGAGGATGTGGCGGACGCCAGGAGGGTAGTCCGAGAAGGTGTAGGAGACCTGGGGGGAGCGGAGAGGCGTGGGACTGAGGAAGAGGGCGAGGGAGGAGCCGGGTCCCATGGGGGAAAAGTGGGTGGGCCAGGAAGGCAAGCAGGTGAGGCCTCACCTCATTCCACTTGGCATCATTCCACTGCTGGATGATCACAGGCGGTGGCTCAAAGGAGGCCAAGACAATGTAGTCAGCTGAGGCCAGCTGCACTCGGAGGTGATACGTGCAGCCGCAGTCTGCTCTGGCAGCAAACCTGGGGGCGGGGCCGGCAGCAGGCCCTCAAATGGGAGCTCAGGTTTTTCTCTGAGCTTGGCTGGGGCCTCCCTTCTGTCAGCAATGCTCTGCCCGTGAGGCTCAGCCCGCTTCACGTGCCCCTGTGCCCCGGGATAGGGGGTAGCAGTCTATCCACGCTGGGCCTCAGTTACCCCATCTGAGAAAAGGGGCAACTCTTAGGTATTCTACTGAAGATGTCACCACAAAGAGTAACAGGTTCTCTACAGAGACAAGGGCCCAGTCCGTCTGAATTAGGTCACCTGTACCTTATAATGGATCACCCCTCCACCCTCCAAGCAGTGGCCCTGGGGCATGGCTGGAACTGGGGTCCTGCCTTCTGCTATGGGCCAAGCCAGGGCCTTGCAAGCTCTGTGCACACAGTAGGCACTTGGTAGAGTTGTAGGGTGAATAATGAAAAGGGGGTGGGGAGGCAAGAAAGCATGTGAATGTCTGTGAGGTTCCGGGGAGGGCTGGGGTCTCGGGTATCTCTGTTGCTTCAGGGCCCATTAACGACAGCTTATCTGTAGAACTCAGTCTCCCCAGCTCCAATCTGGGTTAATGTCTCTCATGGTGTGGTGGGGAGGCTGAGGAGCTGCTGGATGGGCAAGTGCTGGGTCTGCCTGGTTCCAGGGCAGCCCTTGCCCTAGGACACAGCCAGGCACAGAGTGGGTGCTCTCTGTGGGTTTGCGCACCCACTGAATGTAGCAGGAAGAGAACAGGGAAGGGTGCAGAGTGTGGGGAGACGATGGGCCCCACTCACCAGTCCTTGACCACAATGTCAGGCCGGAATGTGTCCAGCAGCTCCTCCCAGTAGCCTTCAGCCTTGAGGTCCACCAGCTGGGACTTGAGGCACATGCTGGGGACAGAGGAGAAGGCTTGCAGCCCCAGCCGTGCTCCCCATGGCCCTGCCCAGGCCCTGGCAGCCCCTGTGGGCCCATGGAGGCCGTCTGTGGGCTAGCCTCGGCTGGCCACCCTCGGCCCTGGCAGTCCTGTCCACACCCAGTGGTGTCCCCCTGACTACTACAGGACAGGCACTGGTGGTACTGACTCCTACTCCTACCCCAGCACAGTCTGTGAGAAACACCTACAGGAAGTCTGACCCACTTGTGTGTGGGTGGCATTTGATCCCGGCCCACGTGGGCAGGATGTGGGTCTGATGTCAGCTTCCTGCATTTGGCCCAGGACACCAAGGAGACTCTGGGGCGCCCTCCGTGAGCTCACATTCCTAGATGAGAGGCAACCTGTAGTCATACAGATGTACCTTAACTGTCCACTGGGATCCTGGCCTCCTAAAAATGACCTCTACCCCCACTGCCTATTGACCCAGCCTCTGAGTTTACTCCTGCTCCAGGAAGCAGTATACCCTGAGCTGGTGTTGGAACAAGCTCCCTCAAGCTTCACAGAGAGACCCTCAATTAGGCCTGAGATTTGGCAAAAGGTGTCCTGACCCTCTTCTCCCTCAAAAATGCTGCCAGAGGCCCCCCAAGCCTGCTTGGTTTGGTTTGTCTTACCCATAGGAGGTGACAAAGTACTTCTTGACTTTGGGGTCAGGAAAATTTGTCCCATGTCCTCCAGGGAGGCTCTCCACCTTCCAGTGGTCACCTCCATTGGAGTCGATTCGCCAGAATCCCATATCCTCTAGGGAAAAAAACAGAAGCTGAGGTGAGATCCCCTGTGTCAACTTAAAGTTTAGCCTCCCCATCAGACCCTAGAAGGGAGGGAGGGTGGTTAGCATTCCTCCCAAAAGGCAGGGCTTACTGCTGCTCAGAGATCTCTGGGGCTTTGGATGCCAAGAGGTTAACCAGTTTGCTCCTCCTCAAAGGCCCTATGCAGCCCAGGTCAGCATGTCACCATCCCACCCACCTTGAGGTACCCCTACAAAGCTCCCTTCCTCCATATATCCCCACCTGTCCTCACCATATCCTCCCTGATTTGGGACCCTCTCCTTCCCACTTGGTCCCCAACTGGCTTGGCATGAAGCTGGAAAAAACAATATTTCCAGAAATTCTAAAACAAACCTTTCCCCTCTCCCATGTTGCTCTGGAAAATACTCAAGTCTCAGTTCTCAAAAAATTAAATTGTGTCAGGGCCTGTAATGAGTCTATTCTGTTCTTAATGGCAGGTGTGAGTCTGTCCTGGTGTTGACGAGCTGCCCTGTGTCCAGGAGGGAGGAGCCCTTGGTTAACTGAGATCTGAGTAGTCTGAGAGGCCTGACTGATGGGTTTGCTATGGGTGGTGGGAACCTACTCTGCTGGGAGGACTCAGCCCCCTCTGCCTAGGGCGAGTGATAATGGGAGGACAGACAGTCTCTGGGTTGGAGGTGTGCTGTGACCCCTGTGTTTGTGGAAGGATCACTTGCCAGGTTCAGAGGTGCAAAACTGTCCTTCCCAGCCTCCCCCTTCAGACTGAACTTAGAGGACCATAGGAAACAACAACAGTTCTCTCCAGAGGCTGTCCATAATAATCTAGGGGAGCTTTTCCAAATTACTTCCCTGGTCCCCCCACCAGGAGCCCACACTTCTTTCCCAGGTGCCTAGGGAAACCCCCCAAGGTGAGAACTGGAGGAACAATACAGAAATCCAGCAGCTGGGTTGACACTGTGTATGGGCTCAGAAGGAGACCAAGGCCGGGCTGACTGCTGCTGGGCCCAGGGCCAGTGTGAGGCCAGGCTGCAGGGTGGTTCTGTAAGGAAGTGGGAACTGAGCTGAGCAGGGCTGCCTGGCTGGGCAGCTTCTAAGCGGAATCTAGGGCAGGCAGATTGAGTGTCTGGGGCTTTGTCAGTGGGGCCTTTGAGAGGGGCCATGAGGCCTTTATCAGTCAGGCCCAGCCTCAGAGCTGAGGAGTTCTGGGTCCTTTGAAAATTGATCTCGGGGTCTCAAGCTTCCCATCTATAAAATGGAGCCAACCCTACTTGTTCGGCCAACTCCCAGGATCCTTGTGAGGATAAAGAGAGAAAATAGATACAAAAATGATTCTAAGTGCACACACTGTGCCTCTTAATCAACTGCTGCTGCAGCCCCAAGAAGCACAGTGTCCGGTACAGAGTAGATGCTGAAGGAATGAGGGGAGAAAACCCTGGCAAATACAGGAGAACATTACATATGAGCTAAACGGGCCTCAAACTATGTGGTAACAGTCACCTCTCAAGATCCTTGTTTTCTTCATCTGTATAATGGGGATATCCGGAAGGTAATTACATTTGTGGAGTCCTTGGGTAGTGCAAATGGTTAATGCACTTGGCTGCTAAATGAAAGGTTGGAGGTTCGAGCCCACCCAGAAGTGCCTCGGAAAAAAGGCCTGGCAATCTACTTCTGAAAAATCAGCCACTGAAAATCCCTGTGGGGAACAGTTCTACTCTGACATACATGGGGTCATCAGGAGTCAGAATCAACTTGATGGCAAATGGTTTTAAGGACATTTCTAAGGACCTCAGACTAGTGGCTGGCACAGAGGAAGCCCCCAACAGATGTTAGGCAGCTTGGACTGAGCTGAAAGGGAAAGGTCGATCTGCATGATGTTCATTCAGCAAACATTTCTTGAGCACTTGCTTGTGAAGGCACTGTTAACAGGCAGACACCAGGTACAGGGTTGCAAACAAGATCCATTCAGTCCCTGGACCTTGATGTTTGTAGCAGAGAAAAAAAATGTAAAACAGATAAATACAGGCTGTGAAAATGCTCTGAAGGCACTAAATGGGGGTGATATGACAGGTGTGGGAGCACTGTTTTTAGATGGGGGGTCAGGGCATGTCTCTGAGCTGAAACCTAAAGGAGGAGGAACCTGGCAGGCCATGACAAGGAGAGTGCTGAGTGTTGTGTGTGTAGGTGAACAGTCCAGGTGGTGTGGGAACAGCAAAGGCCCTGAGGTTCAGGAAAGGGAGGGAACCAGGCCCACGGCAGCCCCCCTACCCTCACCCCACAGCCCACCTTCAGCGCAGGGGTTGCGCAGGAGGTTTCTGCGGAGGCTGGAGAGGAAGTAGAAGATCTTCCAGTCGGTCACAGGCTGGTCCCAGTCCTCTGTGATGAAGCCATCGCGCAGGCTTTTGCGTTTCCAGAGGGTCACAACATCAATGAGGTCCCGCCAGAGGCTACAGACCGGGCGGCAGTTCCGCAGCAGCTCCCGGGCAGGCACGTGGGTGAACAGCTCCAGCAGGATGTTCTCTGGCAGCTGGTTGATGCTGACCGGGGCCATGGCTGTGGTCGTGCGGGCACATGCGCAGGCCTGTAGGGGGCAACAGTGAGACACTACTGTGATCCGCTTCCTCTTTCGTGAAAGGTTAGACAAGGGGCATTTCGAAGGGTGCTTCCAGCATATGGTAGGCTCTCAAAATACAGAGTGGTTGCACACATTTGAAAGAGGGCAACAAAAACATTAATAAAGTCTTCAGGGACAATTTCTTTAAAATGCCCCCCCCCCCCATTAAGAAAATAATAATTGCTTAATTTTGGAGCCAGTGGGCCAGGTGAATTGTAAGATTTTGTTGTCTGGGAGCTCTGCAACTTCTGCGAGGGTTTCTGGTGACTGCTGTTGTTATTTTAATGCTGTGAATTCGCTGTTAGAATATAAAATCTTTTCTACCTCCCCAGCTTGTGTCCTCCAATATTAAGTGATAGGGCTACTGCCGAGAAGCAACCTCCCTCCCCCAAATCACTTGCTTTGGCCTGGAAGCTAATGTGACACAGGAGGCCCCTCAGCTCCAGGCTGGACTGTGTTGGGATGTCAGGCTGGAGCCCACTTTGAAATGCACAGAAAACAAAAAGCAGAGTGAAGGCAATGGAGCCAGACTGCCCGGGTTTGAATTCTGGTCTGTGCGGACAGGCTGGAGGCTGTAAGGAAATGATAACTGTCTGACCTGAGGCTAGGAGGCCTGAGTTAGCACAAGTAAAGCATTTAGCACAGGGCTGGTGCAGAGAAGTGTTCATCACACATTAGCATCATTATCAACACTTCTGTCACACTCCTATGGTGGGTTGTAGTTACTGTCCCAGGAACACTTCCTTTACATCTGAATTGCACAGGGTTTTTCGGAAACTTCCAGGCTCTGCCACAGCTTTGGCCCGAATCTGTTGCATGCCCCAGGTGGGTCGGGCTGGGCTGGCAGCTGTCGGCGCTTTGTTCTGTCACCCAGATGGGTCTCATCTGACCATGACTCATGAAGGAGGGAAAGCCCTCTGCATACATGAAGGGAAAACTTAGGGAAACTTCTGGCCTCTTCTCATTTTCCACAGAGACGTGGCCAAAGAAGCCAAGCACTCCCATCCCAGGAAAAGTGAGGGTGGGTACTTCCCCGGTCCACGCACTCGGGCTCCTGCCCCTGGAAGGGCATTTTAGCGTGGCACATTAAAAACAATAAGCACGTAAGTAAGACACTTAATAGGCTGTGAAAAGAGCTCTGATGGGAAAAAATAAAACCCAGTGAGTTTTCAGGAGCAATTCTATATTTTTTAACATATGAAATGTCCATTTTAAAACGTTGTCAACTCCGGAAAGTATGTCTACGCCAAATACAAGTCGCAGGCTCCGAGTGACGGTTTCTTGGTTACAAGCAGCTTCTGCTGCGATGCCCAAAGCCTGGTACTTGGCTCTGGCGTACTTCATCACCTGCTCCATCCCAAGCCCCACAGTTTCCGACATTCATCCGCCTGGGGAGAAGCATGGCTGTGCGAGGTGGGGCCGGGGTCAGGGCCATCCTGGGGCTTTTTGTGGCGGACTAGTAGACACCAGCTCTAAAAAGCACTCTGCACACTGATTAGGCTCCTCATGTACTAGGCCTTTCTCCAACGACACTCCCAACACTCCCCCCCCCACCCCCCTACCCCCCACTTCCCCAGGCACTGCTGTTATCTGCGTTTAGGATGTAGCCGAGTGGCCGCGGAGGCCGACTCTCGGCCTGGGCAGAACCGCGGCTGGAATGGGGGCCCCCGCGGCCCGAGATCCCAAGCGAGGCGTGATCCGCCGGGGGCCCACGCCCCTTCCCTCATCTGCCGCCCCCTGCCCCCTGCTTGGACAGCTACCTGGGCGCGGGGCGGGCACCCGAACCGGAACCGAGCTGCGATCAGCCTGGGGTTCCCCTCCTCGGCGCGCGTCCGCTCTCGACCCGCGCTAGGGCCGCCCCCTGGGCCGGCCGGCCACGCCCGCGACGAGCCCGCCCCCAAGGGCCGGCCACGCGCACGTCCGCGTCCGGCCCAGCGGCAGGATCCTCGGAAGCGAGCGCAGTGAGAGGAAGCTGGGGCCTTTTGGCCCAGTACAGGCTAACGGGCACCCGGACCTCGGCCTATGTTTCCTGCATCGCTGTCTTCCTCTCCAGGCGCGAGGCGGCTTAGCAGTTTGGACTGACTTCTTGTTGTTAGGTGCCGCTTCGTCGGTTCCGACTCATAGCGACCCCATGTATAACAGAAGGAAACACTGCCCAGGTCCTGCGCCATCCTCACAATCGTTGCTATGTTTGAGCCCATTGTTGCAGCCACTGCATCAGGCCATCCTCACAATCGTTGCTATGTTTGAGCCCATTGTTGCAGCCACTGTGTCAATCCACACATTTGCTGATCCTCTACCAGAGCATGATTTCTTTCTCCAGCGTCTGGTTCCTCCTGATAACATGTCCAAAGTACATGAGAGGAAGTCTTGCTATCCTCATTTCTGGCTATACTTCTTCTAAGACAGATTTGTTTGTTCTTCTGGCAGTCCATGGTATGTTCAGTATTTTTCACCAACACCATAATTCAATGCACCAATTCTTCCGTCTTCCTTATTCATTGTCCAGCTTTCCTGTGCATATGAGGCAATTGAAAATACCATGGCTGGGTCTAGCGCACCTTAGTTCTCAAAGTGACATCTTTGCTTCTTAAAACTTTGAAGAGGTCTTTTGCAGCAGATTTGCCCAATGCAATGCATTAGTTGATTTCTTGACTGCTGCTTCCATCGGTGTTGACTGTGGATCCAAGTAAAATGAATGAAATCCTTGACTTCAATCTTTTCTCCCCTTATTATGATGTTGTTTATTGATCCAGTTGTGAGGATTTTTCTTTATGTTGAGGCGTAATCCATACTGAAGGCTGTAGTCATTGATCTTAATCAGTGTTTCAAGTCCTCTTCACTTTTGGCAAGCAATGTTGTGTCATCTGCATATCACAGGTTGTTGATGAGTCCCCCTCCAGTCCTGCAGCCACTTTCTTCTTCATGTAGTCCAGTTTCTTGGATTATTTGCTCAGCATGCAGCTTGAATAAGTATGGTGAAAGGCCACAACCTTGACGCACACCTTTCTTTCTTGACCTTAAACCACGCAGTCTCCCCCAGTTCTGTTCGAATGACTGCCTCGTGGTCTAAGTACAAGTTCCTCATGAGCACAATTAAGGGTTCTGGAATTCCCATTCTTCACAATGTTATCTATAATTTGTTATGATCCACACAGTCGAATGCCTTTGCATAGTCAATAAAACACAGGTAAACATCTTTATTTGCTTTCAGCCAAGATCTGTCTGACAACAGCAATGCTATGTCCCTTGTTCCATGTCCTCTTCTGAATCTGGCTTGAATTTCTGGCAGTTCCCTGTCGATGTACTGCTGTAACTGTTTTTTGATTATCTTCAGCAAAATTTTACTGGCACGTCATATTAATGATATTGTTTGATAATTTCCACATTGTTGTATTACCTTTCTTTGGAATGGGCACAAATATAGATCTCTTCCAGTCAATTAGCCAGGTATCTCTCTTCCAAATTTCTGGGCATAGATGAGTGAGCACCTCCAGCGCTGCATCTGTTTGTTGAAACATCTCAATTGGTTTTCCATCAGTTCCTGGAGGCTGTTTTTCACCAATGCCTTCAGTGCAGCTGCGACCTCTTCCTTCAGTACCATTGGTTCTTGATGTCGGCCAATTCTTTTTGATACACAATGACTCTGTGTATTCCTTCCATCTTCTTTTGATGTTTCCTGTGTCATTCAATATTTTGCCCATAGAATCTTTCAGTATTGCAACTCAAGGCTTCAATTTTTTCTTCAGTTCTTTTAGCTTGAGAAATGCGGAGCATGTTCTTCTCTTTTGGTTTTCTAACTCCAGGTCTTTGGACATTTCATTATAATACTTTACTTTATCTTCTCAAGCTCCCCTTTGAAATCTTCTGTTCAGCTCTTTTACTTCATCATTTCTTCCATTCACTTTAGCTAATCTGTGTTCAAGAGCAAGTTTCAGAGTCTCTTCTGACATCCATTTTGGTCTTTTCTTTCTTTCCTTTCAAATGACCTTTTGCTTTCTTCATGTGTAATGTCCTTGATGTCATCCCACAACTTGCTTGGTCTTTGGTCATTAGTGTTCAGTGTGTCAAATCTACTCTTGAGATGGTCTCTAAATTCAGGTGGGATATACTTGACGTCATATTTTGGCTCTTGTAGTCTTGTTCTAACTTTCTTCAGCTTCAACTTGAACTTGCATAAGAACAATTGATGGTCTGTTCTGCAGCCAGACCCGGCCTTGTTCTGACTGATGATATTGAGCTTCTCAGTTGTCTCTTTCCACAGATGTAATTGATTTGATTCCTGTGTATTCCATCCAATGAGGTGCACATGTATAGTCACCATTTATGTTGTTGAAAAAAGGTATTTCCAATGAATAAGTAGTTGGTCTTGCAAAATTTTATCATGCTATTTCCCAAGTCATTTCTATCACCAAGGCCATATTTTGTAACTACTGATCCTTCTTGTTTCCAACTTTTGCATTCCAATCACCAGTAATTATCAATGCATCTTGATTGCATGTTTGATCAATATCAGATTGCAGAAATTGGTAAAAATCTTCCATTTCTTCACCTTTGGCCTTAACGATTTAACTTGGAATAATAGTTGCATTGACTGGTCTTTCTCATAGATATATGAATATTATCCTATCACTGACAGTGTTATATTTCAGGATAGAGCTTGTTCTTTTTGATGATGAATACACCATTCCTCTTCGATTTGTCATTCCCAGCTTAGTAGACCTTATGATTACCTGATTGAAAATGGCCAATACCAGTCCATTTCAGCTCACTAATGCCTAGATATCAATCTTTATGTGTTCCATTTCATTTTTGATGACTTCTAATTTTCCTAGATTCGTACTTTGTACATTCCATGTTCTGATTATTAATGGATGTTCGCAGCTGTTTCTTCTCATTTTGAGTCCTGCCGAAACAGACTGCCTTAGGTCTCCTCTTTTGTTTTTCCTCCAAGGGGAAGCCTGCTGAGCCCCCAACCCAGGCACGCCCCTCCCCTGCGCCAGGCCCCTCCTAGCCTTCTTTTACCTGGTCCCTCCACATGTAGTGGCGGAGGTGGAGCTAATACCTGCCCCATCCTGGGGCTCCTCCCTCAGGGATGAGAGCTGTAATTCTGGGCATGAGCCTGGCTGTGTCTCTCCTTTGGGGTGTGACTCCTGGCAGGCCTCAGTTAACTTAAAGATAAAAACCTCTCTGGGTCTTGGCCAGGATTAAATTAGTTTGTGAATTACTGCCTTCATCCAACAAATATTTGTCAAGCACAAACTGAGCAGTCACGTGGTAGTGCACGCTGTGTACCGCACAAGGGCACCTGGCCCAGGCTGCATAGGTACCTCCAGCCAGGGCTGCATCTTCTGAAAGGAAAGGCACCCTTTTTCTAACTCACCGAAATGCTATACAGCTGGTGGTGGTTCCTGCACTGACCCTAGGCAAGACCCTAATCTACCTCACTATCAAGTGAGATCATTAGATTTAATGAGTTATTGAGCACCTACTGTGTGCCAGACAATATTCTAGATGCCTGGACTTTATCCAGTGTCAGTAAAGCTCTTGGCACAGAGAGAGTGCTCACCAGTAAGCAGTGCCTGGGATGGCACTACTGACCCAACACGGGGGCCACATCCACAAACCCCCTACTTCTAGCCTTGTGCCCAGACTCCTGTTCTGTGATCTGAAATGCCAACCCCTCTCTGTGCCGCAGGCAGAAGCCACATGCTGCACCTTCTGCAGGGCCCAGGGGAGGGCCTCCCATCAGGTCTGCCTTTCCCCTGAGAAACAAAAGGGCACTGTCTGGGTCGAGAACACTTTATTTGGCTGCATGCAGCAGGGCTGGGTGGGATCAAGAGGGCACTGCTGTCCTTCCAGAAGAAGTGGGAGGCAGGAGTGTGGTGGGGTGGGGAGGTCCTGGGAATGGCAGTTCGAGGGTAGGGTGGGGGCTTACAACAGTCTCCAGGCCACAGGGAGCCTGGCCGGGCTATGGAGGTGGACGAGTGGTCCTTGGCAACCCCCTACCCACTCACCCAGGGCTCACTCGTTCCAGCTGTTAGAATCAGAGCTCAGTCCTGCCCCCTACCTGCCCTGGGTCACCCTGGGCAGGATTCTGGGGGTCCTCTGGGAAGCCCAGCCTCTACCTGGTACCCATCTGGCTTCTGGGGCTTCAATGACATGAGGATAGTCCAAACACAGGCTGGACCCCTACTCCACCCTGGGTCAGCCCATCTCAGACTAGGCCTAAGCCTCTGGGCCAAAGCCAACTCTTCAGAGCAAGACAGCTTAGGAGCAGCAAAACGGAGCCGAGGACAGGACCGCAGGGCCCTCCCTCTCCTTTCCAGATATGTCTGAGTTACATGGTTGCCTCCCAGCACCAGAACTATCCAGGGCAAACACCAGCCTGCCCGACTCCCTGCCTGTCTCTGCTCCAAGGGCCCCAGACAGCACAGGGAGAAAGGCCCTAGAAGAGGAAGGTAGAGATGCAGATCTAGGTTGGTATCTGAGCTTGGAGGCTCACTCTCAAAGGAGCCTGCACCTCCCTAGCCTCAGGGGCCCTATCTATTAAAGGGGTCCACGCAGGCCTCCTTGCCATCATTTAAGCCAAGACCCTGGGTGGGAGAAGAGGGCTGCACAAACTGAGAGGCACCACAAAAAAAAAGGCAATTAGGGGACAAGGGTGAGCTAGGGGGTTGGGGGAGCCTGCCCCCCCCTTCCCAAGCCCTGTCCTTCTCTGAGAGCAGTTTACCAGTTGGGGTTTGGCAGATGGGGGCTCACGGGCATCAGGGCAGTGGGGGCCCGATGGTGATGCTGCTGTTGGTGACTCTCGGGCCGTACCAGCCAGCCCAGTAGTGAGTGTCCACGCTGCCATGCTGAAACCAGATGTAGCGGACGCCAGGTGGGTAGTTGGAGAATGTGTGGGAGACCTGGGGGCAGGCAGAGGGAGGGAGAAAGGTCAGAGAAGCTGACCCTAGGGGTGGCACTGCTGGAGGGGGCAGGGGAGTGAGGAAGGGGTGAAGCTCGTAGGGCTGGAGAAAGAACGCTGGACTAGGAGTCAGCAGAATGGAGTTTTAGTCCTAGCCCTGTGATTTTGGGCAGACCACTTCCATTCTCTAGGCTTTAGTTTCCTCATCTGTAAAATGGAGCAAAGTCCTGCCATGTTCAGTCTGCAGGATTATCATGCAGATCAATGGAGCTGAAGGAAACCTTGCAAACAACCAAAGGATGTCTAGACCTGCCGCGTCCAATACGGTTGTCACTGGTCAATGTGGCCATTTAAATTAAAATTAAAAATTCAGTTCCTCAGCCCCACTAGAGAACTGGCTTTTAAAAGTGCTCAAGAGTCACACGTGGCTACTGACTACCGTACTGGACAGCGGAGATACAGAACATTCCTATCACTGCAGAAAGTTCTACCAGACAGCGCTGGTCTAGATCAGGGGTTGGCAAACTTTGGCCAGCAGGCTAGCTGCTGATTTTAGTGAATAAAGTTTTACAAACTTCATTTACATATTGTCTAAGTCTCCTTTAACGCTGCAACAGCAGAACTGAAGTAACTGGGATAGAAATGGTATGGCCCGCAAAGCTTAAAATATTTATATCTGGCCCTTTAACAACACCTTGTTGACCCCGGTCTAAACAGTAATAACAATTGATATTAGTAATCAATAGTAGTCAACCTTTTTGGACATTTCTTCAGGTCAGGCTCTACCAACATCATTCCTCTAACTTCTTTCAGAGCTCTACGAGCTCTGGAAATGAAGCAACTGAAGCTTAGAATAACCGAAGCCCAGGTGAGAAGGAGGAGCTGGGATTTGAACCCAGTCCTGTCTAACTACAGTCTCAGCCTTGGGGAATGTCCCACGTCTACATCCCCAGCTCACACACCTCCCTCCACCTGGCATCACTCTTCTGCTGGATCATTGCCGGGTCCGGCTGGAAGGTCCCCAGAGGCGTGTGCGCTGACGACAGGAGCTGAACGCACAGCTGGTACTTGGACCCACAGTCCGGCCTGGCAGCGAACCTGCAGGTAGAGTGAGGGCCCATCAGGACCTCAGAGGTGGGGGGCAGGGTAGGGGTGGGGCGCCGGAGCGGCAAGCCCCCCCCCAGACCCTCGCCCCAGGCACTCACCAGTCTTTGACCTCGATGTCTGGCCGTGTGGTGTCCATCAGCTCCTCCCAATACCCTTCAGCCTTGAGGTCAACCACTTGGGACTTGAGGCAGGTGCTGGAGGTGGGTGGAGGGATGGGAGGGGCTGGGGCTCACCACTAGGGCACCGGGGGCTAGGACTGCCTCTCCCAGGGGAAGGAGAGACCTTGGAGGAAGTGACTTGGGCTGCCCCCCACCCTGAGACCCCCAGCCTTGGATCTTACTAATAAGAAGTCACGAAGTATTTCTTGACCTGGCTATTGGGGAATTCCTTCTTCTGGTCTCCAGAGAGATCCTCCACCTTCCACTCATCGCCGCCATTCACATCCAGGCTCCAGAATTCAAATCCCTCTGGTGGGAAAGCAGAGTTCACATCAAAGGGAAGCCCCTTGGTGGTCACCTCCCAAGTGCCCCCTCATCCCTGTTCCTCTTCCTGGATCTCCCCAGCTGCTCTAGAGCCACATGCTGTGGGACACTGCAGGTCAACAGGGCCCACCTTCTATTAAGTACTTCCTATATGCCAGGCACCATGCTAAGTGGTTTCCATGAAACTAGACCTGGCCCCTTCCATAATGGGGAATGCTCTAACCTGGGCCAGACAGACCTGGATCCTAGCCCCAGCTCTACCACCACCAGGCTTAGTGACCTTAGGCACATCACTTTCCCTCTCTGAACCTTGGTTTTCTCTTCTTAAACTGGGCTCAGAACAGGGGCTGACAAATTTTCTCTGTAAAGGTCCAGACAGTAAGTATGTTAGGCTTCACAGTCACATAGTGTCTGTATTGCAGTCTTTTTTTTTTTTATTGCAGTCATTCAAAAATGTAAAAACTATTCTTAGCTCCTGGGCCAAATTTGGCTAGTGGACCAGTTTGCCAACCATCAGTCAAGAACATGATTATTGGGAAGTCAAATGAAGCCAGGCATCTCAAAGCTCTGGACAGCCCGGACGGGTTGTTTTATCATTTTGTTCCAGAATGTGTCCATGTAATGGAAGATTAAGTTCCCAAACCCTTCCTTTACAGTGTCCAGGTGACTAGTTACAACCCAGCAAGGGAAGAAGGGGGTTCTGATGACTGCAGAAACCTTGTTTTACTGTTACTGTAACATATTGGAAAGAAGACTGGAGCTCTTGTTCTTCCACAAGCAAAGGCCTCTTTGCCCTCTGGGATAGTCCAAGTAGGTCTAACCCTGGAATCTGGGATCTAGGCCAACAAAATATGGTTCTGACTTCCTGGTCTTGCGTCTTGGGCAAAATTAGTCCCAGTCAGCCAACTCTCCCTCTCCTAGGAAAGGTCACAGGGGAAATAATCTTATGAGTGGGATAAGAAATGCCACTCTTGGCCTCAGTTTGCCCATCTGAAGAAAGGGTACACTGACAGTACCTACCTTTTAGGGTTACTGAGAGAAGATCAAAGAAGTTAAACTATCCAAATTACTTAGCATGGTGCCCAAACCAAAAGAAACCAAACCAGTTGCCATTGAGTTGTGACACATGGCGACCCCATGTGTTTCAGAGTAGAACTGTGCTCCGCAGGGTTTTCAATGGCTATGATCATTCAGAAGTAGATCATCAAGTCTTTCTTCTGAGGTGACTCTGGGTGGATTTGGGCCACCAACCTTTGGTTAGTAGCCAAGAGCTTAACCATCTGTACCACCCAGGGACTCCAGCTCATAATACATACTCAATAAATGTTAGCTGGTATTATGACTGGGGGCAGGGGTAAGGGCACGCCATCCCACTCCGTACTCCACCTTCAGCACAGGGATTGTGCAGAAGATTTCTGTGGAGGCTGCGTAGGAAGTAGAAGATCTTCCAGTCAGCCACGGGCTGGTCCCAGTCCTCCGTGATGAAGCCCTCACGAAGACACTTGCGCTTCCAAAGGGTCACGAGGTCGATGAGATCACGCCAGAGGCTGCAGACAAGGCGGCAGTGCAGCAGCAGCTGGCGGGCTGGCACGTGGATGAACAACTCCAGCAGGATGTTCTCAGGCAGCTCGTTGATGTTCCCCACGGCCATGGCTGATGGCTTCCAGACACCGTCCTGCGGTTACTGAAAAGCTCCACTAAAGACCAGGCCCTTCCCCCAGGACCCAGTATTTGCAGCACCCAGTGGGGGTGGCGGTTCCCACTCCAGCTGTCATCCCAGCTCAGGAAAGTCACTGTGCCTCTCCCAAGCCTCAGTTTCCTCCTCTGTAAAATGGGGCCATGAATAGTACTTACTTGTTAGAGGGCTCAGTGTAACAACCAAGGGCAAAACAGGTGCTCAATCAAAGGTGAGCTCTGATTTTCTCACCGCACCTCACAACAGCCTCTAGAGAGGCTAAGGGGGTCTGGAGATGTGCCACGACCTGAGCAAGGTCACACAGGCAGGGGCAAAAGGGGGAAGAAGCCCGGGCGTGCTCTGACTCTGGAGCCAGTCTTTTTTCATTAGGCTACTCTAAGGTAAGAATAACAACCTGCAGCTCCGCAGAGCGTTCCAGCCTGCCCTGTACTTCCTGTTCTCTCCCATCCTCAAGACGTACTGAGGGGAAGAGGTGGGTGTGGGAGGTAGTAATTATCACTGTCTCCAACGGAGACCCAAAGGGATCAAAAGACGTTCTCAAACTCACAGGGGAGATAATCTGCCACACGGACTGGAGAGTGGGTGGGTGACGGGGAAGGGCCTTGGCCTTTTCTTTTGCTATTGCTATCGCTATCCCCACCCCCATCCCCACCCGCACGGCTGGGCTTCAGTCCGAAGTCCCCAGCGTGCCTATGCCCCCGTATTGCCACACTATGCCTTTAAAATGCCCCCCTTGATCAGGACTCGGGCTCCTGTGCCTCGATGGTGCGACCCCAGCCCCAGTTCCCGCCCGCGCCGCCGCTTGCGGCCGCAGCGCAGCCTGGAAAAGCGCGGCCTCCTGGGCTTTGCTCGCGCCGCGCCGCGCCTCCCTCTGTGCGCTGCGGAGCGGCCAGGAACCGACGAGCCCTGCAGCCGCCCCGCCGGCCGAGCCCTAGCCCCTACGCTCCCACGCTCCATCCTGCTGGTCACCTGCACTTGGCCGCCACTGCGCGATCCCGCTCGGCGCGGGCCTGCGGCGGCCTCTGCCAGCAATCGCTGGCGTTGCGGCCCCGCCTCCCGGCCCCTCCCCTCCGCACCGCGCAGAAGAGCGCAGCGCGGAGGATGCTTCCCCCATCGCGACGTAGGAAAATTACCCTGGGGGAGAGGTGGGCGGGAGGAGCCTCCGGGTCCCCCCACCGCCACCCCGGCGGCAGCTCCCTCACCCTGTCCGTGACCCAGACTCCCTCTGTCCCTGCGCCACCTCCTCCCCGCAGCCACCCAGGATAGCGCTGGAAGGCGCCCCCAACCGGCCCCCCCATACAGAAAACCGACCCCTGACCTTTCCCAGCCTCCTGGGTCCGCAGCCTCGGGCTGACCGCCCCGACTGCGGGGCGTCCCGGCGCGGGGCCAAAGGCAGGCGGGGCGAGGCGGCAGCATTTAAGAGGCTCGACCGGCCGGGGCCAACTCAGACGCGGGCAGCGCCTAGACTCGCCGCCGCCGGGGACTCGGCAGCCCCGCAGCGCTCCGGCTCCTCCTCCTCTCGCGACCGCCCTCCGCAGCGATGGACGGAGACGGTGACCCAGGTAGCAGGCGCCGCCCGGACCCACTCGCTCAAGCCCGGGAGGGGAGATTCGCAAGCGGGCTAGTACCGCAAAGAGGGGGGTCATCCAAGAGCGAGGGAGCTCCCCGAGACCCAGCACGGCAAACTTTCACCAAGAAAACCCTTGACACAATCCCAAAAGAGCATGGTCCTCACTCTGGGATCTTGGTGTGGCGTGAGGCCCTGAGAGATGTCAGGCAGGAAGGGAGGACTCCTGGATCCCATTTACCCAGGAAATAGCATTGAAGTCATCCCACGTTCCCACTCCCCAGGTGCGGGGGGTTGGGACGCGTCTGGGATGGCGGAGGCTGCAAGCCTTTTTCTTCCACCACCTTCTTTCCTTTGCCAGTTCTGGCCCGTGAGCTGCCTGAATCCCTGTGGGTTTCTCATATTTACTGGCCTCCACCCCCACAGCAGCCTTCCTCCTGTGGTCCCTCGTTGGGGAGGGACTGCCCTTCACCTGGGCAGTAGGAAGCCCAGAAGGGACCAGGCCAGTTGGGAGGGAGAGTTTGGGGCCAGCTCTTGGCCTGTGCTCAGGGCCCTCTGAGTCTGCCCAGTCATCTTCTCTGGCACCAAAGACCCCCCATCCTCCCAACTCCCACTGTGCCCATAGGGATTGCCTGCTGAGTCAGAGTGGGATCAACTTCACCCTTTCTCTCCTGGCCCAGCTGAGGGTGGGCACTGCTTGGGGAAGGCACTGGGATACCGGGAGCTCCCCCTCTCCCAGCCCTGAAACTCCTGCATCCCAGGATCCCAGTCTGTGGCCTCCTTGCCACACCCTTTGTGGGGCCCCAGAATCGGCTCCTGCTTTTTCCCAGGGCCCAGCTATTCCCTGGACTCCGGGGCCCAATCTAGGTGAGTGACTCAGCCTCAGAGGCAGCGTCCAGGGGCCAGATAACTTTCCACAGCAACAATGTGGGGAGTTGTGTGCACATGAGGGGGGGTCTGTAATTGGATCTGGGGCCTCAAGTGCCAGGCCCAGAGCCAGGAGAAGGGCACTGGGCGAGGTACACCTTTCGGGGAGCATCAGGTGTCCACCGGGGCCAAGGCAGAGCTGGGGGGTGGTGGGGTGGAAAGGTGAGGACACTGGGCCCAGCTCCCCAGAGAGCAGTGGGCAGTGCATGCCCAGGTGAGGTGGCTTCAGGAGCTGGCATTGTTCTCTCTGCCTCCCCACTGTTCTGCTAAGCCTCTCTGAGCCTCAGTTTCCTCTTTGCCAAAAGGGAGGGGTATACCCTCCATCATAAAGATGTGGCAAACATTATAGACGATAACGAAGGGAAAGTGCTGTGTTAATACTGTAATAAAATTCACAGTGTTTGCTGAGGACTCACTGTTTGCTGGGCTCTCAGTCACCTGGGGATCTTGCTAAATGTAGATTCTGATTCATTATATCGTGGGTGGAAGTGCAAATTCTCAGCAGGGGATCAAACCCAGAACTAACTGGTTCAAAGCCCTGGCTCTGAGGAGGAGGTAGTAAGCCCAGACCCAGCTCTCAAGGGGCTGACTGTGTGGGAGGGGCAGAAAAAGTTGCATGTGAGGAGGTTAAAGGTTGGCAGGTTGGGGTCCTGGCATCACCTGGACTTGGGCCTAGGCCCTGGCGCCGGCCCTCTCCCCGAGTGCCTGGCCTACTTCCACATCCGCCCCCCACCCGAACGGCTTTCCAGGGCCCAGCCTTCAGGAACTCCCCATCCTAGGTCTGTGAGCAGTGGCCTCCCCCATCACCCAGAGTGGCCCCATCTCCTCCCCACTGTCCCCCGCACCCCGAGACACTGGGCACTTGGTATCTGCTTACTCAAGGCCGGCTGGGATCCAGGACATAGCCCTGCCTGCAGCACCTCACATCTGTCCACCTCCGTACAACTTATGTCCTTGCACCCTCTTTAGGGGGTTTGAGCATCAGCCCAGTCCAAATGGCCTGGCACAAGATTACCATTTTACAGATGAGAAATTTGAGGGCCAGGGATTAAAAAGAAGGTGAAGAAGCCATCCTTTCCCAAACACCTGTCATATCTCCCTGTTAGATATACATGGTCACACTCCTGTGGCTGTCTGGGGGACCACTGCAGCATCGCTGGCCCCTGCTCTTTTTCCCCTGGCCTCAGACCCCATGTCCCCTACACTAATACTAACAGTGTGACCTTCAGCAAGTCACTTCATATTTCTGAACCTGTGTGTTTTCATCTGCAAAATCAAAATCATAACAGTGCCTACTAGTTCAACGAGTTATTTTATCGAGGCTGCTGTGGTTGTAGTTAAAGGTAAATCTGGAGCTAGACTGCCTGGGCCTAAATCCAGACCCCAACCACTTAACTAGCAGTGTGATCCTGGGCTGTTTAACCTCTCTCTGCCTCAGTTTCCTCATCAATGACATAGGGACAATGGGACAGCAATTGCAGCAACCTCAACGAGGTTTTAAGTCCTCACAGTTTTAAGGAGCCCTGGTGGTGCAGTGGTTAAGAGCTACAGCGAGCTATGGCTGCTAACCAAAAGGCTGGCAGTTTGAGTCCACCAGCTGCTCCTTGGAAACCCTATGAGGCAGTTCTTCTCTGTCCTATAGAGTCAACTATGAGTCAGGATCAACTTGACGGCAACGGTTTTTCAGTGGGTTCACAGGTTTAAAGAGTAAATGAAATTGTAATGCTTAGAGCAGTGCCTAACCCTTGCTAAGTGTCCAATAAACATAGCTGTTGACAGCCTGCCAGCCAAGGTGCCAGAAGCCAGGTACTAGGGGTAAAGCAGGGAGCTTAGTCTCATCAGGAGAGAGGCGTTTATCACACCATCTCACCCTAGGACAAAAGCTAGCTAGGATGGATATGGGCTGTAATGGGGGAAGCCCAGGAAGGCTTCCCTGAGGAAGTGACAGAGCCGGGCTCTCAGAAGGTGGTTGGGAGGATTGAAGGAGTTCATGTGTGAAATGTTCTTTAACTAGTTGTCATCTAATCGATTCCAACTCATGGCGACCCCAGGTGTGTCAGAGTAGAACTGTTCTACAGGGTTTTAAATGGTTGATTTTTCTGCAGTAGATTGCCAGGCCTTTCTTTTGAGGCACTTCTGGGTGGACTTGAACCTCCAACTTTCTGGTTAGCAGCCAAGCACATTAACCATTTGCACCACCCAGGGACTCTGAAACAGTCCTTAGAACAATGCTATAGATGGATGCCGTTAATAACCATATTATCATTGCTGTTATCTGTTCAAGTATGGGGTTTACTGACCCAGCAGGGGAAACTGAGGCCTCTGAGACCCCTCATCGGACTTAGGGTCTAGTCCCTTGGGCCTCCTCTACTGGGCACCAGTCTGTGGGTTGTCCCAACATGGTGGAAGTGGATACCCAGCACGTCGCGGGTCTGGGGTGTGGAGGGGGACAGTCCGTGAGGAGTCACAACACCCTACCCGCTGCCGCCCACAGAGAGTGTGGGCCAGCCTGAGGAGGCCAGCCTGGAGGAGCAGCCGGAGGAGGACCGGCCTGAGGAGGAGGACCGGCCCGAGGAGGAGGAGGCAGCCGCATACCTGGATGAGCTGCCCGAGCCATTGCTGCTGCGCGTGCTGGCCGAGCTCCCGGCCGCCGAGCTCGTGCAGGCCTGCCGCCTGGTATGCCTGCGCTGGAAGGAGCTGGTGGACGGCGCCCCGCTGTGGTTGCTCAAATGCCAACAGGAGGGGCTGGTGGCTGAGGGCGGCGCCGAGGACGAGCGCGACCACTGGCAGCAGTTCTACTTCCTGAGCAAGCGGCGGCGCAACTTGCTGCGAAACCCATGTGGGGAAGGTGAGTGGCTACACCGGGAGGCCCGCTCTGCCTGGGGTGCTCAGCGCCCCTTCTGTAAAAGTGGGCCATCTCAGTATAAGTTTGTTTGGAGAGTTAAATTAGATAAAGCACTTGGCACAGTGCCCAGCACAAAGTAGCCCCAAGAAATACTGTCTATTATTATCTCCCTGGCTACCTGCCTGCACCCCAGAGCCCTGGGAGTCTCTTTCCCAGGTCCTTCTACCCTCTGCTGGGGAAGGACAGGTCCCGTGGAGGACCCAGCCAGGAGGGAGAATCTGGGACAATCAGGAAGTGTCCACCATTCAACCCCCACCATTATCTGCCCACCCTGCACACCATTAAAGTACCCCGTCTCTTCTGCCCCACATTCTGGGGACATGAGCCACGCCCCTGCACCCTCAGCAGGGATGGGGTGACCAGGGTGGGGCTGTTGTTTCCCCACAGAGGACTTGGAGGGCTGGTGTGACGTGGAGCATGGTGGGGACGGCTGGAGGGTGGAGGAGCTGCCTGGAGACTGTGGGGCGGAATTCACCCACGATGACAGCATCAGGAAGTTCTTCGTCTCCTCTTTTGAGTAAGAAGAAGGTGCGTGGAGGGGTTGGGGCAGGGGGCATCCACTCCGTCTTGACCCCAATTCTCCCAGGTGGTGTCGCAAAGCGCAGGTCATTGACCTGCGGGCCGAGGGCTACTGGGAGGAGCTGCTGGACACGACTCAGCCAGCCATCGTGGTGAAGGACTGGTGAGTGGCCGTGGAGCCAGGGCTCATCAGAGGGGAGGGAGTGGAGGCAAATTAGAGCCGGTGCCCTGTCTCAGGGGCAGCTGTCCCTAACTCTATGGGTCATGCTCATGTAAGCCAAGGGCCTTCGAGGGTTGACAGCTTCCGAGTTTTCAGGAGCAAGTGGAAATCTACCCTTTGTCGCCCGAGATTTAAAATTTGGCAAGGCAAATGCGTACATTAAAAAAAAAAAAATTAAAATCAGTCTGCGGTTCAAAAAAAAAAAAACGGGTGTGGGCTGGCTTTGGCCCCAGGGTTGGGTCTGGTGGACCTGGATTTTAGTCCTGGTTTTGGATCTTGGGCGAGTTACCTTCTCTGTAAAATGGTTTTGCAGATAACGGTTTCTTTGTTTGTAAAATGGGCTTATTGGTAGCACTGGCCTGCCAGGATTGTTGACTGTAGATGAGAACGTTTGTAGAAGACCTGGCCTATGGTTCGCGCCCAGCGCCCAGCGGGCTGAGGCCGCGCCCCCGGTGCACCCTTCTTCCCTCCGGAAAGGTACTCGGGCCGCAGCGACGCTGGCTGCCTGTACGAGCTCACGGTGAAGCTGCTGTCGGAGCACGAGGACGTGCTAGCAGAGTTCAACAGTGGGCAGGTGGTAGTTACCCAGGACGCTGACGAAGGGGGCTGGACCGAGGTGAGCTGGAGGGGCGTGGACCTAGACGCTAGGGGGTGGGGCCCGTGGAGACGGCGTGTGGGCGGAGGGGTGGAAGGGCGTACTGGTGCTGAGAACAGCTTTGGCAATCAGCGATCGCTCGGGGCACCGGGGTCGGGGGGCCTTGAGGCCCTGCGGCCTCCTGGCTTGACTCCCTGCCTACCTCCCCAGATTTCTCACACTTTCACCGACTACGGGCCCGGCGTCCGCTTCGTCCGCTTCGAGCACGCGGGGCAGGACTCTGTATACTGGAAGGGCTGGTTCGGGGCCCGGATGACGAACAGCAGCGTGTGGGTGGAGCCCTGAGTGACCCTTCCCCCCGGCTGCCCTGGAGACCAGAGGCTTGGGTAGATAGGCCTTAATTTAGTCTGTAGCATCCTCGCCTCCCCTACCCCACTCCTCTCCTGCCCTTTGTCCCAAGCCCGGAGACGGTGTTCTGTTGGTATAAATCTACATATATTTGCATCTCATTGGCAGCCCACTGCTAGAATGCAAGCTCTCGGAGGGCGTGGGCTTGGGCTGGCTCTCACTGCTGTATCCCTGGCGCCTAGCACAGTGCCTGCCTCTGTGTGGGCGCTCAATAAATATTTGTGGAAGGACGGAATGAATGATCACACGGATGAATGAACGCCCTTTCCTCTGCTCCCTTCTCGGTCTCCTGAGGGCCGCTGGCCCAGGATGGAAAAATACTTGATGGGGCTCCAGCTGCTCCGGTTTCCAGGGCCCTTGGGCCTGTACAGAGCCAGCCGAGCCAGGGCCGCAGTGCCGAACAAAGGCCGGGATTGTGAGAGCCAAGGAGGGGCGAGCGGGGCTTGGCGCCTGACGACACCCAAGCTGCCCAGGGGTGGGGGTGCCCTCCAGGCCTCCCTGCCCAGCGCTTATTCCAGGCCTGGGTGCGTTTCCTCCTCCCCTTCTGAATGCAGGATAGTGGTGATGGCTGCGGCGTCAGGACTAGAATATAAATTCGCCTGGGCTCGGGTGAAGGCGAGTGGTGGGCCAGAGTGGGGCGCTGAAAGGGTCAGCAGGGCGTCCCTCTTGGTTCAGGCCAACTCACGCCCTCCTCCCTGGCCTGATATTGGCTTGGACAGGAGCCATTAGCATCTGGTCTCTCATTGGTAAGCCCTGGCCAGAGGGGTCCCTTGCTCCTTGCTAACCCCTGGCATTGGTTCCCTTGGGAGGAGAGGCAGAGAAAGTAAGAGTGTTGTGCTAGGCTCTGTGCCTCCCAATAGCCCTCAGACCCAACCGCTTTCCAGGACTCCCAGCTGCTGGTCCTGGGGGTGGTCGAGGGTCTTGAAACACCTGACCTCCTCTCTGCAGATGGTGACCCATAAAATCACGGTGCTTCTCCAACTTTCCTTTGAGTCTGAGGCCTGATGCTGATCAGGTGGGATTGCAAAGTTCAGGCTGCTGGGGCCTGCCTGCAATTGTTCATTCATTCACTCAATTCCTGGAGCCCCGACGCCTGGCCAGGCCCTGCGTGGGGCCTTGAAGTTACAGGAGTGAGTAGGACACTCCTGCCCCAAGAAGAGTCAGGGTCTGGCTACATGAGGATGGAGCCCCCTTGGAAGGAATGTATCTGGTGCCTTAGGGAGCCTCTAGTCTAGTGGTGGATGCCCAGCCTCTGCCCTGGGGCATCCTCAGTCCACAGGTGAGACAAAGCCCTGACCTCAGAGAACGCCCTCAGTCCTTCCTAAGGGTTTTCCCAATCTGGTGGGGGTGGCACGCCCACACTCACATTAGTTGCCAATCAGTCAGGGGAAGCACTGCCTTGCTCTGGAGACCCAGTCTGATGAGGAGCCAAGAAGGAAGAGGCCCATATCAGTCTTTATCCCCCAACCCACCTCCCTGGGAGCTCTAGTGTTTAAGTAAAGGCAAGGCTGCATGCTTTGGGACAAGGAGCTAGGATGGGCATGGCGAGAGCCAGAGCCTGCACTGGGCCACAAGAGGAGGCTGGACTCAAGGAGGTGATGGCAATGGAAGTGAAGGTCAGGAGTCTGGCCCTGGATGCCTTCAAGGACTGGATGTCAGGGTAGGGATGTGGGGGACATGGAAGGTCCTGAGTTTGAGGTGCCCACAGGGGGTCTGGGTATCTGAAGTAAGGCACAGGCTCTGGGCTGGAGGTGCAGATCCAGGAGCTGCAATGTTGTGGCCAGCAACCAAGGCCAAATGTACTGTGAGGGACTGGGAGCAAGTCTGGAGTGAGGCAGCAGAGGGTCCAGAGAAATGCCGACTTTTGGGGCCAGGATGGGGGACGCAGAGTAGCCAGAGGGTGGGGGGATGGGTAGGAAGGTGCAAGTCCAGTGAGGCCACCTCCAGCCAATGCCTCGGTCTCCTAGGAAGGAGCCAGAAGCCCAGAAGCCAGGTTCGCTGCTTGAGGCTGCTGTGGTCTTCTCCCAGGGTGCAGAGCCCGCAGAGGAAACCTGTGGGGCTTGGGAGGCAGGACAGTTGGATACACCGATGCTGTTTAGCTGGGGAAGATGAAGGATCTGCTCCTGAGTTGGCAAAGGGCTGAAGCTTCAGGAGGCTTGAAGGCTCACTGTGCACTGGGCACATCCTGTCACGGCCATAACACCATGAGGTGTTATGAGGGGGATGGGAACATCATCATCCCCCTTTTGCACATGAGGAGACTGAGGACAAAAGACTTTTCTGGCAAATGACATGCACAGTAATTGGAGAAACACGAGTTCTAATCTAGATGTACCTGGCTCCAATAAGCGTGCTCCTAACCTCTCGGCTTTAATACTCTGGATCCTAGGGGCAGAGCCGGGACCCTCATGTGAACCGTTTGCTGTCAGGCTAATCCTGACTCATGGGGACCCCCTGTGTGTCAAAGTAGAACTGTGCTCCATAGGGTTTTCAGTGGCTGATTTTTCCGAAGTAGATCATCGGGACTTTCTTCCAACGCACCTCTGGGTGGACTTGAACCACCAACCTTTCTGTTAGCAGCCAAGCATATTAACCATTTGCATCACCCAGGGACTCTGAACATTATTGGAAGACAGATTCATCTATCAGCTTCTTTTAAAGCAAAACCTAGGTGCTGTCCAGCAGGGGGCACCGCAGTCCCTCTTGGAATAGTGAGATGGTTGCCCAGTTGGCTCAATGGCACCCAAGCGTCAGCTGGGGAGGGGCCTGCATGTCCCCTGAGATCCTTTCCAGTCAATCAGATATTTATTGAGCACATATTATGTGCCCTCCTGGAATTTACATTCTAGATGGGGAAACGTATCAACACAAATAACCAAATAAATGAAAAAGATAATTACCAACATGATATATCCCTTAATATACATATCAGGCACTATTATATTGCTTTATGTATATTGAATTCTTATAAGAACCTTATGAGGTAGGAACTATTATTACTCTCATTTTTACAGATGAGAATACTGAAGCACAGAGAGGTTAAGCAACCTGCTTGAGGCCACACAGCTAATAAGTGGTAGAACTGGGCTTCTACACAGCCAGTTAGGTACTTGACCTCTGCAGTATAGTAAACGAAATAGGGTGGGGGTACTACTTTGGGCAAGGTGACCAGAAAGGACGTCTCTGAGGAAGTAACGTGAACAGAATGATGAGGAGAACCCAGCCATGCAGATATCTGGGGGGAAGAGCATTGCAGGCAGAGGAATCAGAAAATGTAAAGGCTTTGAGGTGGGAACGGAAAGCCACCCAACATGGCTGGAGCTCAGTGAGCAAGGGCGGAATGATTGATATGAGGCTGGAGATGGAGGCAGGCAACCCTGAGAATTTCCTGAGCACCTACTGTATGCTCTAACTTGGGGCTGGGGCTAGGGGGCTAGATATCAACAGCTCACAGTCTAGTTGATGAAACCAAATTTCCTGAGAGTAACAGGATGATGATGATGATGATGATGACAATGACAGCAACCATAGGCATTTGGGGAGGACTTCCGGGTGTCGAGCCCTGTGCTCAGCACACAGGCTCGCTTGATCTGCCCCAAAGCCCTCTCTGGTTGTTGTTAGCTGTCGTTCAGTTGGCCCCGACTCATGGCCACCTCAAGCACAATGGAACAAAATGCTGCTCATCCCTGTGCCATCCCTATGATAGGTTGCAGATTGAACCGTTGTGATCCATAGGGTTTTCATGGGCTGATTTTCAGAAGTAGGTTGCCAGGACTCTCATCCTAGTCTTGTCTGGATGTTCCACTGAAACCGATTCAGCAGCATAGCAACACAAACATCCACCAACAGACAGGCAGTGACTGTGCATGAGGTGCATTGGCTAGGAATCCAACCCAGGTCTCCCACGTGGAAGGTGAGAATTCTACCGGTGGACCATCTCTGGTTCATACAGAACCGCTCTGGTAGATACAGATATTCCCATTTTATAGGTAAAAGAGCTAAGACTCAGAGATGTTGGGTAACTTGCCGAGGGCCATGCAATGAGTAAGTAGTTGAAGCTAAGTTTCCAGCCCAGGGTTTTAACCACTTCACTATGGTACAAAATCCAAGATGAGCAAGTGCCAAGGGACAGAGCAGGGGCAGAGGCTGGGCAGAGGTAAGGAAGAGTGAAGAGCTGATGACAAGGAGGCTCTAGAGCTCCCATGCACAGTGTTACCCCACGCAGAAGGAGGGCGTGCTAGGTGTTTCTGAGCCACTCTGGTTAAGAGGGGTGTAAAAATACATCCTCATATTTTTTTGGTGGAGCCCTCTATTTAATCATTTTGCAATGGATAAAACTCCTCCTTCCTCTTTCTGATTCATTTACCTTGTAAATCTGGATTTTCATATAAATAATTAAAAAAAAACCCCCAAACCCACTGCCATTTAGTCGATTCTGACTCGTAGACCCTGTAGGACAGAGTACAGCTGCCCCATAGGGTTTCCAAGGCTGTAAATCTTTGCAGAAGCAGACTGCCTCATCTTCCTCCCATGGAGTGGCTGGTGGTCAAACCACCGACCTTTCACTTAGCAGTTGAGCGCTTAACCACTGCACCACCAGGCCTCCTTGGATCTTTGTGTGCTTGCTGTAATGCATTTCAGTTGCAGACATGGAGGAAGGGAGGATCAGTTCCTCCAAGCGCCACTGGGTGTCAGCATTGTCAAGGGAGTCTAAGGCTGGGCTAGTCCTGCCCAGTTTCTCACCAGAGGAAGGAGAACTGGGGTTGTAATTTGAATCCAAAGCCCTATCTTTTTTCCATTGCCAGGAGTGGAGTCCCAGTTCTCAGAGGCTGGGCCCTCTGCTCTGCTTTGGGACTGCCCTTTATCCCCAGAGGCTCTTGAGAAACATTTAGGAGGCTGGATCTTTGGAGGCCTGAGCCATAAAAGACTCGGATGGG